CAATGGTCCTTAATCAGTTTGTGAATGGAGGGGAAAAGATCAAGGCCTCGAAGGTTTTTGAAAATAAAAATAGAAAGACACAAGTCATTACAAGTGCTTGATGTAACAGTAGTAACACTTCATCCATGTCTCACACTAAAACATGTTTGGTCTGGACTTGGCCGGGATAAGTCCTTGAATTTGATGTTTCGGAAGGATTGGAAACCCTGATATTATTTCCATGCATGAATTCTGTTTTGTCATAACAATGCAAACAAATATTCTATCCTTGGGTCGAACAACATTATCAAGTATTCTCAGTTTTGTTTTTGTTGGGGAATACTGGAGAAAATAAGTAGATTTCTCCGGCAAATCATCTGACAAATAAAGCATTGTATAATGTGTTGTTAGGGTCTAATGTCTGATCAGGATTAGCTTCTTAAGGGGCCTTTTAAATGTCAGCAGGAGAATAAGGTCACGTACAGCACAGCATTGTAATGAAAGAAACTGTAGCCAGCACACTCGATTGCTTCATCTTTCATCTCCATCTGTTCAATGCTTTCACTCTCTCTTGTTTGTTCAGCGGGGTTTTTCCTCTGTATTCAGTCACCTTCTCTTTCACTCATCTTCTCTCCGTCTGCCCTTCCCGGTGTTTTTGTCTCCTGCTCTCCATTGATTGTGTTATTTCCGCTCCCAGCTCGCTGTCTTTGTCATTTACACTCACATAGGGGGGGTCAGCCTGTAGATAGGAAGCTAATTACTGTAGGAGCAGAGGAATTCCCCATGGTAACATTTCCTATAGTGAAGTGCTCCCGTTTGTATGTCATCTGCAGCCGTGCTTCGGTGACCAGAAGAAGAAAACCTCCAACCTGGAGGCTTACGTCAGGTGGTTCAACAGACTGTGTTACCTGGTGGCTACTGAGATCTGCATGGTGAGTGGCCATTGTTGGTGCACCCGGTGCTCATTTATTCTGTTTCTAGGAGCAAATAAACAGCACATAAAACAAGCTCTTTAACCTAAAGTAACAAATATTAAAAGTAACACTTACCAGATTTGAAAAATGATAAAACCACTGATGAATATCATGTAAATCATGTACTAGACATGCAGTTTACTTGCATGAGAATTGTAGAAGTTATATATGTTCACATTTTGTATTTATATCCATCATAGAACCAGTACTGTATTCTTTCATATTGCAAATGATGATACCTTGAAAGAGTTATATTGTAGTACAGTATTTCATTTTAATAGACACATAGAAGGCTGCAGATAAAAGCACTGTGGTTGTTACAGAGTGCCACTGACCCCTAATGGTTACTTTGTGACACTGACACTGGCACAGGCAGTATAACTAATGGCAGTACTTGTATAGAAAGATTCACTTAGAAAAATTAAGCTTATATGAAACTAAAAACCCTCCTTTTCCCATTTTTGCAGCCAGCGAAGAAGAAGCAGAGGGCCCAGGTGATAGAGTTCTTCATTGATGTTGCCAGGGAGTGTTTCAACATTGGAAACTTTAACTCCCTAATGGCCATCATCTGTGAGTCTAAATTTGGTTTATCTAAGAATATGATTACTAAGAATTATCCTGCAAGGCCTTGTATTGATAGTTTGAATTAATTTCCTCCTGCAGCCGGCATGAACATGAGTCCTGTGTCACGGCTGAAGAAGACTTGGAGCAAAGCCAAGACTGCCAAGTTCTTCATTCTCGAGGTAAACACAATAAAACTATTCACTGGCTGAGAGGTACAAGACAGGTGATAACTTGAACTTGACAGTTTATTGCTTCTTTGCCATTTGCTTTGACAGCACCAGATGGATCCTACCGGAAACTTTTACAACTACAGGACAGCCCTGAGGGGGGCCGCCCACCGCTCTCGCACTGCCAACAGCAACAGAGAGAGGGTAGGGCAACATGTCACTGTGAAAGCTTGCTGGCATCATTGCAATCATTGCAATCTCATCCTCAATACTTCCTACATTCTTCTTCCTCTTTCCTCTCCCTCAGATTGTGATTCCCTTCTTCAGTCTGCTGATCAAAGACATTTACTTCCTGAATGAAGGATGTGCTAATCGGTTGCCCAACGGCCACGTCAACTTTGAGGTGAGACGGTCACACTTTCTCTTGACCATGGGTCCATTTCACCACCCTGAGAAAAGTCACTGAGTGCAATCTTGGTTTTCAGAAATTTGTGGAGTTGGCACGGCAGGTGGGGGAGTTCATGACATGGAAAAAGGTGGAGTGTCCATTCGAGCAGGATCGGGCCATCCTGCACTACCTCCACACTGCCCCCATCTTCAGCGAGGACGGTGAGACCCTGTTTTTAATTTAAACATTTCTGCACATGGTTATCCAAGGATCCCCACTCGTCACAATGTTCTTCTACTAAACAATCCTCTTGACTTATTTCCAAACTATTTATTTTCTCATCCTTCCTCAGGTCTTTACCTTGCATCCTATGAGAGTGAGAGTCCAGAGAACCAGGTAGAGAAGGACAGATGGAAAGCACTCAGGTGAGAATGATAACACATGTCAAACTAAAATGGGACTCAGAGAATGCTGACCCAATGGTGCCTTCACATGCGAATGGTCTTATTCCTCTAAATGGGAAGCTGGTGTTCATGAGTTTTCAAGTTATATTGTCAAAGCAACACAGATGGCTATTTCCAAGTTGTTGTTCCAATTTAAGTGAAGAATCTTCCCAGTTTGGAACACATTTTTCAAATTATTCTGACGTTACATGAATGCAGAACACATGTACTATCTCGCTATTTAACTTGATTCATCATTAATGTGTCAGCCCCAGGCTATATGAACTCACCGTCCATCATCACCCTTTCCTCTGTTTTTCTCTCATCAGGTCTAACGTTCTGGCAAAGACATGAGGTGCTGACGGCAGCCGACTCTCCCACCAGCGAGGGGGGGAGCATGTGTTCTCATTGCACTAAAATGAACTGTGAAGGAGCCTAGCTGGTACTTAGGTGTTTTTCTATGAAGAAATGATTTTTAAATAAAACATGATGAACAGGATTCATCAAGAAGAGTGTAAAAAAAACAAAAGAACAAATCACAGAAAAGTGTATTGAACAAATTAAGCTATAGAAACTGGAGCAAAATGCCTTTGCAGTATTTTAAATATCTGTGATGAGGTACAGTATGTTGGAGAAGGATACACCTCTCCTTCCCTCAATGTGTGTTTACTCTGTAAAGATATGTTTACTACTATAGAGAGTACAGTTACAGGGAAAACCACTTTATAAAATGAATTCCTACTGATTGCTGTTTTTGTATTTGCTCCTCTTCTGTTTTCTCTCTTCTCTTTCCCTTTGGCCTAAAAGCCTTGTCTAGGTATTTGATTTGTCCTTTACTTGTGATGTACTGTGTTGAAACTTACAATGATGTGAAGGGCGCTGGCTAGCCCGTATCAGCTGTCTAATTTTATAGGTCTACTGAAGGAATGGCTAGTGACTGTGTGTACCTGGGAGGACCGAGAGGACATGCCTTGAGCATTTCACCAGTTCATCTCAAGTGTACTTTTATGTGTGCGAGTGCGTTTGAGATCCAGATGTTCATGAATTCACGTCCGTTCAGATTGTCACTGTCTTGTTTTGCATGAGAATGACCGGAGAAGCCAGTTTATAAGTCATCTCTACTTGTATTTTAATTTATTGTATCTTATTTTGGGCGGGTAATATGAACTGTTTGAAAAGTGTTTACTACTTTGTAATGTATCGTGCCAGTTATGCGAGACAACTACAGTATAGTTACAACAGGAGGCCAGGTGTAGATTGTGTACAGGTTAAATTAACACCTCATCTTTCTGCTCTTCAGGAAGTTTTCTCTGACTGACGTTCAGTTGTCTGATATATTTATGGAGATTTCTGTGCTGACAGATGTATAGTTTTTATTGTAACTTTCCTTTACTGAACATGAAGTCAAATAGCATGCTACCACAGGTGTCTATCTGCCTATAGAGTAAAGAGGGAAACTTGTGCCATATGTTGTCATGACAATTCAGGTTCCTCTGACTTGAAATGTGTTGTTTATCATTTTGTGGGATTGTCACTGAGCTTTGTTTTTTGGCAGTTTTGTTGTGATTTGGGAGACATTTTTGAGGTTGCGGGAGGAGAGGGTTATAGGGAATTATGTAATTATAAGCTTTTTAAAAACAGTCGTATTCAGTTTGCTATAATTGATTGATGTCAGTGTTTTCTCTTTAGAAGCACCTTTCCCCCTCTCAATAACAGACTGACTTTAATTCTCCCTCCTCCATTTGTCATCAATAAACTTGCTTTCCCTGTAACACCTTCCCCAGATAAGTTAAGACAATAGAAAGCCAGGATGTATGTGCAGTCAAACCCTCCGTTAAGAGCGAAGACGTGTTTTAATAAAACATCGCCTGTGTTCAACATGTGTTTTCAATGACAATCACATTAAATCAGATATTTTTAAAGGTGTCATCGCACTGCCATGTCTATCTTTGAAGTTTTTGCTTTCAAACATACATTGCTGTGTGCAGCTCAAGGAGTGGAGTGCATTTAGTGGTTATTGAAGCCAAGCAGACACATGCTTGGCTCCAACTTTACTGCATCATTTGTGACTGGTTCCTACAAAGCCTTTAATAAAAGTAAACCTTGCTTCGAGCATTTGCCTTCCGTTTGATTGATTTCCATGTGTCTGCCCATTCAAGCGTGGCTTGAACAAAACATTAAACCAAAGCAATGCATTGAATAAACATAATCAGGGTTTTCAAAATAATGAATCCCAAAATACAGATGTTGCAAGACTTCATTTGCAATCCTCACCTCAGATAAATTAATGAGGTAATTAACTGCAGCCCCATTTTAAACTAATACTAGAAGGGAAGCTGTGATTTTTCACAAATTAGTGGCAGCACATAACTATTTACCAAAGCCCAAGGCAACCACTTCAATATGCTTGTTTTAGTTCAAGTCCACGTATCCAAAAGTATGCAATTTCAAATGTTAAACAAAATAGAAAATAGAAACTTATGAGTGACTGAAACCAGCAGATATGTTTTAATGACTTTACCAATTATCAAAATGGTTGACGATTACATTTTTGAAGATGACATCAATTTATTTTTTCAGCTTAAATGATTAAGGACATATAACGATTAAGATAAGCGATAAATGTGATATGTGATAAATACCACACGCAGGAATTTAATTCAGTTATTTTATCCTGCAAAATAAACTAAAAACTATGAATGTATGTATTATAATGTAAAGGATAATATAGACATAGGCCTACAGGCAATTTTATAAAAGAAACATCATTTAATTTGTGGTGGAAAAATATCTCAGGCACATTCCACCTGAGATGATGAATTTGATAAGCACATATACCAACCAAGAGGTGCTGAGAATGAATTAAAACGCATTTATTTGTAGGTTTAGTACATGTTAGTCTTTGAGTTCCTCTTCCTTTGGGCCAAATGTTAACTCCGCCAGTTTGCCGTACGAGTTAACGTGCCTGGAGGCCAGGTAACTGCCAAAGACCGCCTGGAGCAGAATCACCGCTCTCATTTTCCTCAGGACCGGTTTGGTGAGGTCCATCCAGTACCGGAGCGTGTTGCCCTTCACTGGCATCGGTGCTGTATTGTACCTGGATGCAAGCCCAAAGTTCACAGGTAGAGCCAGGAGGATAGGGTACAGGCCAGCACCGACCACACCAACAAGTGCACCTCGGATCAGGGCACAGGTGGGACAGTTGAGATCCCCGGCCAGCAGGGGGCCGGACACTGCACCGTTATAAAGGGCAAATGTTGTCAGGAAGGGCAACACGGCCAGCGGCAGGCTGGAGGCGAAGATCGCCTGCGTGACATTCAGGCCTCTGCGAAACAAGCTGTTGGATATCAATCCTGCAAGAGCCCCGTTCCCCGCCAGATAAATGGGTCCGTAGAGGAAGAGTTTCTTATCAAAGTCAGGCAGTCTCTCGAAGTTCTTCCCCAGCATTTCAGAAATAACAGCTCCGTTGAGGGCATTTCCAGAGACCCTGTCCTTCTGCGTATTTTCCGACATCTTCAGATTAATGTTTTTAACCAAAACACCAATCTACACTTTTCCTTATTAAGAGGTCTTCGTTTACAATTTGAAAAAGTCAGTAATCACATTTAGGTAAGATGGTCCTCAGTATGAACCATAGATAGACTGTATATATAAAAGGTATGAACACAGGGCGCAGACATTTCTTTCCCACAATTCAAAGCGAAGGATCGTGGGTTTAGTTACCCTGCGTTTAGTATCTCAGGCAAGTTGTATAATGAGCCGTTTACTCCATTGGTTTTTTAAGTGTGTTTGTTTAATCCAATCCTCGGTCTGACCAAATTAGTGTAGATGAAAATAATGGAAGAAAACTTAAAAAAAAAAACAAGGCATGGGTAAGAACAACCATCATCCAAATAATGAACTGTATCAAATTGTGATATTATTTCAATTAATGGTGGCCTAATGCCTTTATGTCTAAAGGCATTTTGGTCTCTCTTCTACTCTTTGTGTGACCATAGATAATGTACATATGCTAAAGTAAAATAGACCAAAAATAATGTGGGCTGTTAAAGAAATATTAAAACAAGTAGCCTACTAAATATTCTGCCCTATCATCAAGAGAGGAGAGAATGGATCATATTAATGCATTTTAAACAGTGGATATTGCACATTTCCATGCAATTTTCAACAGGGGACATTGCACATTTTACACGGGAGCCTCTTTGGCTTTGCGCTTTATTTTACCTGTAAGGATAAACTCAGGACAGGAAAGCCCATGTTTCATAGCAGGGGGCGTTGGCTAATGCGTCATTGGATTTGTTTGACGACGTTCAACTTCCCTCGGATTAAGGCACAGAGATCGCCATCTTTGAAGACGGCTAGTCGGAGCCTTTTTATCCTTTGTTCGCATTTTTAACATAATCTAACATACACTATCGAATCTCATTATTTGAAACACCAGGTAAGTCCACTTCTTGAATCATGGTTAGCTGACACTTAATTATGTTGCCAATAGTTAAGCCATGGAACATTCCCTTTATTTTAGCCAACTTTAGCTAGTTAGCTTTCCAAAACTCGAAGTACGGCCGCCATGGCAGATCTCTGTCGCTAATTAGCTGTGACTTGCTACGAGAATTTATTCCATCGAATACTTTAACAGGTTAAGTAGGAATGTTTGGGTGGCACTAAATATATTTTTGACAGTAAACATCGCTTGTTGCTACTAGTCACATTTAAAATGTATTAATTTCAAAGGTAGGCTCACTCGCTTAATGTGCGTGTTGTTGTGGCTAAAGTTTAAAAGCTAGCATTAGTTAGCCTGCTCGACGGGCCTTTGGGTCGACATCATCATTCGACCACTCAATGCTTTATTTACGTCGAGCCAATCGACTGGTTAACCTAATTAATTAAAGACTTAACAAAAGTAGTTGCCTCATGTTGGGTTGCAAATTACCTTATGTAATTTCAGCAATCGATTAAGATTTGAATGGTCGAAGTTTCTGGAACTGCATGATAACAGTGAAGATCTACGGCCTGACATCGCCCTACGTCGGCCAGCGTTATAGCTTTTCCACGTTTTATGCCACCCTTATGGCATTTTTATCAACCTACGTTTAATATAACTCTTTATCCGTTAGTATTTTAGGTGTTGTTATTAACGTCATTACTTGTAATGTACTGCAATGTTTTCAACCTGCTAACGTTGCGCTATTATTATGAAGAATGTTCTGTTTTGGGATAGTTTTAGAGCTGCAACGGACGAGCATTTTCGGTGTGATTTTATTTTTTATGAAAAGTTGCCCCATCAACTGTTTGGTTCATAATGTTAAAAACATCAAAACTTCTTAAAAACATTAACCAACAACGTCTTGTCAGAGCTCAAATTGGGCAGTTTGACTGACCAACAGTCCAACACTTGTATATATGTATATATATATATATATATATATATATATACTTGTGCTCATTTGAGAAGATGAAGCGAGAATCTGGCTACACCCCCACTAAATGCACACTAGGCAGTTGAATGTTCTTTTACATTTGTGCAGCATCTCTGGAAACAATCCCCCAATGCAGTGAAATTCCATTTTGACCTGTTTCCCATGTCTTTTAGATGCGCCAGTCGAAGCGAATGCGCTCCCCAGGTGTCTGGCTTGATGAGTATAGCTGGGAGGAGAGAATGGAGTGTCGTAAGCGAAAGAAACAGTTTTCACATAGCAGTGAAAGAGAAAACAAGTCAAGAAGAACTCAACTTCACCACCGGACCTATGACGGGTAAATATATTTCAGTATTTCTTTTTGTAAAGTACCATTTTCAAATTTTATAACCTTCATTTTAACTGAGGAGAACATTATTCATTATATCCAGTAATGCCCAGGAGACTGGCTAAGTGTTAAATATACTATAATTTCCACCTGGCTTTTGAGGAACAAATGCAATTTATGGACCTCCTGTGGAACAGCTGTTACACACATATTTTATAACATAGGGGAACATACAAAAATAAAGGATATATACTGTCTACTACTTAATCCCTAAAATCATAGATGTAACCCAACATCGAAATAGCAGATGTGTCAACAATCCGGTCAGATCCGCATTATTTCAGATTTGTTGTTCGTGTGTGTATTACACACGAACAACAAATCTGAAATAATGCGGATCTGACCGGATTGTCTTAAAATGCAAAATGGATGCTATTACACTGGTTAAGCTAGTTAGGGAGCATCTATTTCGACATGTAGATCATTTAAGATTTGAATAATAGTAAGTCATTCTGTGAAAATGTATAGGATAATTCCCTACTGTTTCTACGTTTTAGATTAAGATTGAGTTGTACTGCCACGGTTTGAGCTGAACTTTTAGTTACATTTATAAGACTTCAGTTTTGTAAACAACCTAATCCTTTGCCTGTGCTACAAGGTAACTCTTGTATATCCATTCCTTTTGTGTTTTTGTAATTAAATACACTTAGAATAAGAACCCCCTTGCCCTCAGTTTGCAATGTTAATATGTTTTGCAATTCTCTCTTTGTTGATGGCCCAGGGGTAGATGTTTCCAGGTCTACTCTAATTTTAATTCTGTAGGGGGGCAGACTTCTTCCTGGAAGACAACTGACACCAGCAGGGTGCCAGGGCTCTATGGGTTGATCCCTCTTAGATGCTAAGGTGCTAACATGGCCTGCAGTGTGGGTGTGCTGGAAGCCATTGCAAACATTCTAAGCAGACCAACCTTAATAAGCAAACTCTAGGATTACTTTCAGCAAGGCATATTAAAGGAACTGTTGGTAGGTCATGGAAAAAGTTATGTTTTATAAGCAACAAACACATTTCCCAGGCCTTGATAAATATGGTACAACACAGTTCACTTGTGGAGTAGGTATGCAGGTGCAGAATCACAGAACAGATTGCACAGCACGTCGTGGTGAAAAGCTGTCAGCATCTTTCCTTTCCTCACTGTCAGCAAATATGGCTTTCTGTCAGGTTAAACAGGATTCAAGGAATGCTTACAGTTGCCAATGAGATGGCTTTATAAATGTTATAACCGCCTGTTACGTCACATGTTGAATTTGCATACCATAAAAAGCACTACCTACGTAGTGACGGACAGTTAATATAATTCTCTCTGAACCATGGCCTCTCATTAAACAGGACGTCGGGTATTTGGTTGCTGCAAATCAGCATGTTGCTAATTACAAACGTCACATAAAAGGCTCAGGATAGAGTGTCAAGCAAGTGGCAGACTATTAGCACCTTCATATGCAGTCTTCATTCGAGAGCGTTATCACAGACAGGGAGCCAGGCTGTTTCCGACCTGACTTTCTGCTCCGTGGTTTTGATTTGTTTTGGTCCTTTTTCTGTTTGACTGCAGGCATTACTTGGAGACCCGCAATCTGAACCATAGGCTGGATTCTTGGGAAAGACCCACACGGGATCCCAGTTTTGGCATGGCCTGTGAGGAGGACAGTCGTGAAGGGACCTGCAGGGACAGAGAGCGTGACTGGCACCACTACAGCAAGTCGTCCGGGCGCAGCGGTCGAAGCGGTCGCAGCAGGCGAAGCAGCCACCGGCACAGAGACCGCGGGCGCAGGCGGAGCCCCTCTCGCCCCAGGTCCTCCACGGTACGGGAAAATCCTTCTCCACGCTTCTCCCCTCTCCTGTCTTTTTCACCTAAATCAGATGGGCCATCACAGGTGTTAAGCCAATGCCTAACACCTTTCTCTTTGTCTCTATGTGTATCCAACTCTTAACTATTTAAGCATGATTTTCAATAATGACAAGTAGGGGGCTCAGCAAGTAAGACCCTGTGAGTGTTAAAAGATTTTCTAGAGAAAAAATGGACCCTGTTTTTGTGCTTAAATCTTAGTTTGCAGTAATAGGACGTGATGGTAAATAATGTATTTGTTTCGGAAGAGTTACAGAGAACTACATGTAGATAGACTGTCATCAATCAAGTTCAGTTTTTTTCTGTACTACTCTGAGAAAGTCTCTCATCTGAAAATCTTGTTGCCATGTTTTTCTTCTGTAACACACACTATGTGGTGGCTGCCGCCCAATTTCTCTGACGGGGCTGAATTTGAATTTGCTGCTCCGTCCTCCCGTCCATTCGCCTGCCGGTGTTACTGAACGGGCCGAATCTATCCACCCCTACACCTCCCCCCCTGGCCTGGTTGAATGAATGACGATGTCGCATTGTGGTGGCCTGGTGCTGGCTGACTGATGGGTTATTGATGTGATGGCGGTTCCGGGTGCAGAGGAGGAGCCAACAGCGCAGGAGCAGGAAAAGATCCAGGAGTGTTGAGGATGATGACGAGGGTCACCTCATCTATCACAGTGGAGACATGCTGAGAGCGAGATGTATAGAATATATACTTTTTTTTTCTACTGTTGATCACACTTTGTGTCTCTCACTCTCTTGTTGTCTGGTTTTTATTTCTAAACATTAATTTAGAGGCTGTTGTATTTTGGCCAGTAGACTTAATACTTTTTTTTTTTTTTTTTTAAATACTGCTTGTCAGTGTAACATATTTAGCATTGAGTTGCAGTCCAGTGTTCAGATGCCTGTTTATAGAAGTGTAGCTAAACAGAGCAATGAAACATCAGGCAGTGCAACAGCCTAAAGGCAGTGCTTCACCTTTTCTGTTCTGTGGTGCTAACTTCAGCTTTCTATTTTCTGTAGATGAGATTGTGTGTACTCTAGGAGAAGGGGCCTTTGGGA